TGTTAGAGTGTTTCTCATTTCTTTTGCATTAAAGAAGACCTTAACCCTAGAGAAAATCTGAATTCTTTATCTTTGTACCAACAGTTCTTTCTCTCTCATCTATCTATCTATCTATCTATCTATCTATCTATCTATCTATCTATCCTATCTATTGTCATCCTGTCTATCTTCCAACCATGTCTCCAACTGTGCATCAATTTATTGATATATTTATCTGACTTTTGTCCATTCTCTATCTTTCTCTCATATATATATATATGTATGTATGTATGTATGTATGTATGTATGTATATACCAATCTATGTATGTACGTATCTATCTATCTATCTATCATCTATCTATCTATCTATCTATCTATCTATCTATCTATCATCTATCTATCTATCTATCTATCTATCTATCCATCCATCTATTTGTCTGCCTGCCTGTCTGTCTGCCTGCCTGTCCGTCCATCCATCCATCCATCCATCCATCCATCCATCTATCTATTTATCCATCCATCCATCCATCTATCTATTTGTCTGTCTATCTGTCTGCCTGTCCGTCCATCCATCCATCCATCCATCCATCCATCCATCCATCCATCTATCTATTTATCCATCCATCCATCCATCTATTTGTCTGTCTGTCTGTCCGTCCATCCATCCATCCATCCATCCATCCATCATCTATCTATTTATCCATCCATCCATCCATCTATCTATTTGTCTGTCTGTCTGTCTGCCTGTCCGTCCATCCATCCATCCATCCATCCATCCATCCATCCATCTATTTATCCATCCATCCATCCATCTATTTGTCTGTCTGTCTGTCTGTCCGTCCGTCCGTCCGTCCGTCCATCCATCCATCCATCCATCCATCCATCCATCATCTATCTATCATATGGCAATTTACATGTGCCCACAATGTACCCATTAGTCCTCCTCAACAGAATACCACTGATTCTGCTGCTTGGCAATTTGGGGAGTTGTAGCTCAGCTGTTCTGGGTGTTCTTCCTTCACCCCAGACTTAATGAATTGCAATCATGCTGCTTTCGAAGAAGCCTCCACAATGCCCCCTGTGTGATCTCTTTGTTTCCAAACAGCCTTGGAAAATGCCAGTGCAAAGCTGGAGCCACGGGGATCAAATGTGCCCAGTGCCAGGAAGGCTTCTCCAAGTTCAACGGGACCTCCTGCGCGCCATGCCGGTGCAACAATCATTCTTTGCAGTGTGATCCTTTGACAGGTAAAATGGGGTTGTTTTGTGAGGGGTGGTCCTTAGGAGGAAGGGTTTCCCAGGAGGAACAACTTAACATGGCAAAATCTAGCTCAGATCATAGAGGAGGAGAAGGGTTAGAGCAAGGCAGGACTATCCTTCGTTTGGTCATTGGAGATCCATCTCGCCCTTCTCTGATGGAACCCAAAGCAGCTCAGATAGGCCAGGAGAACTGACCAGGAGAGCTTAGCTTGAGGAACCTCAACCCAAAGCATAATAAAAACCATAATTTAACCAGTGGAATGATTTGCCTCCAGAAGTTGCGGGTGCTCCAACCCTTGAGATTTTAAAGAAGAGTTTGGACAACCATCTGTCTGAAATTGTATAGGGTTTCCTCAGGGATGGGATTCCAAAATCCCAGCAACCGGTTCTCTGCCCAGTTGCTGGGTGGGCATGGCCAATGGTGGGCATGGCCTACTGGAACTTCTGGGAAGGCCGTTTTTCAGCTTCCCCAGAGTCCGGAGGCTTCCCTCGGGCCTCTGGGAAGGCGAAAACAGCCTCCCTTGGGCTCCGGAGGTCCTCCAGAAGCTGGAAATAGACCCATTTCTGGACTTCCGGAACTTCTCGCGCCTCCCAGAGTCTCCGCGTGGATCCTGCACTTACCTGCATTTGAAAATGGGCCATGTGGAGACTCCTGGGAGGGGAGGGACAGGGTGGTGGGGCCGTCCGGTCGGTTCAACTACCAGTTTGGTGAACCAGATGTAAATTTAACAACCAGTTCGCCTGCACCAGCCCGAACCAGCTAAATCCCACCCTTGGGTAGACGACTTCCAAGGTCTCTTCTTCCATCTCTGTTATTCTGAAATAACCGTTCAGAGACAGATCATTTCAACTCGAGCTTCTTCCCACGAAATGTCGCTTCACCTCCAAACTCCTGCGTCATTTCTGTTGGATTTTGTTTGTTTGTTTGTTTGTTTGTTTTGCACGTAGGCGCTTGCCTTCATTGCCATGGAAACACCGAAGGCCCTTACTGTGAGAATTGCAAAGGACGATTTTATCGCAACCACTCCGAGCAGCACGAGTGTCTCCGCTGCCCTTGCTCCACAGAATTTTCCAGCGGCAGCTGTCAGATAAGTAAGGTGGTTTTCTTAAAAGGTTGACGAGCGGTGGAGTTGACCTTCTCCTGTCTGGGTTGGCATCTGGGGAGAAGCCTTGGGAGCAAATGTTGGCCACGACGGGCTTTGGGGGGGTTGATCTGGTTTGAGCTTATAGAAATTATAAGAAGTCACACAGACTCTCTGGTTGTCGTGGATCCCAGGAAGGAGAAATGGCAGCTCTACGTTTTGTAGAGAAGTTACTGTGGACAGAATAGTCCGTAGTCTCAACAACGCCGCAATAGGCAGTTGTGTTGTGCTTGCTGGATCTTCATCTCCCTCTGCTGGTCACTTGCTCGGGTTGCATTGACCAGTAGGGTGGTTCACCCTTGGTGGAGAAACATTTCCCTCTTCTGGCTGGCCAGCTCAGTGATATGAGAAGGATCAGCCACAACTGTGTTGCTGAGACTTGGCAGAATCACCATGTTTCTGTCCCGAGATTTTCTTCTGACAAGGCCCATCTCTTGTCAGTTATCTCATCAAGTTCATGTGCAGATCTGGTCTCGAAGCTTTTGGTCGACTCCTTCTTCTCTTTCTTCTGTCCTCCTCCTCTTCCTTTCTTTCTCCTTTCTTCCTTCCTCTTTTCCCCCTCCTTTCTTCCCCCCTTCTTCCATTTTTCCTCCATTCCTCCTCCTTTCTCTCTCCTTCCTTTTTCCTCCTCCTTTCTTCCTCCATTTTTCCTTCATCTTTCCTTCATTCTTTCTCCTTCTTTCTTTATTCTTCCATTCTTTCTCCTCCTCCTTTCTTCCCCCTTTCTTCCTCCATTCCTCCTCCTTTCTTTCTCCTTCCTTTTTTCCTCCTCCTTTCTTCCTCCATTTTTCCTTCATCTTTCCTTCATTCTTTTTCCTACTTTCTTTATTCTTCCATTCTTTCTCCTCCTCCTTTCTTCCTCCTTTCTTCCTCCTTTTTCCTCCATTCCTCCTCCTATATTCTTTCATTCTTCCTCCTCCTTTCTTTCATTCTTCCTTTTTTCCTCCATTTCTCCTTTTCTTCCTTTATTCTTTCATTCTTCCTTTCTTCCTCCATTCATCCTTTTTCCTCTATTCCTCCTCCTCATTTATTTTTCCATTCCTCCTTCCCTTTTCCTCCATTTCTCTTCCTTCCTTCTTTCCTTCCTTCCTTCCTTCCTTCCTTCCTTCCTTCCTTCCTTCCTTTCTTTCTTTCTTTCTTTCTTTCTTTCTTTCTTTCTTTCTTTCTTTCTTCTTCCATTCTTCCTCCATTCCTCCTCCTCTTCCTCACTGCATCCTCACAACCTGTAATACTAGAATGCATGTATCCCTCTTGGATGACTGGTGGCAATGGGGAAAGCACTCCTGTAGCAAAGAGGAGCTGTTGAACTAACTAACATCCTCCTTCCCCAATCAGAGCCGGGTCAGCAAACTCCAACCTGTGTCGAGTGTCGCCCTGGCTACATCGGCCCCCTCTGCAATGAATGCGACAAGGGCTACTACAGCTCGGACAGCATCTGCCTGAAATGCCAATGCAATGGGAACGTTGACCCAGCCCTTTCGCCGAGAGTCTGCAAGGCGGATACAGGCGAATGCATTGGTTGCCTCTACCACACAGCCGGGGTTCATTGTGAGACATGCCAAGAAGGCTATGCCAAACATTTGGAAGGAGGAAACTGCACTAAGGAAGGTAAGAATGTTTTCCCATTGATTTAGCGCATTCCAGCAGCGTGCGTCAATGACTACGGGTAGCCCTCGACTTACAACTAAGCGTTCAAAGTGTATGACTGTAACTTTGTCACTTGTATCCTTATGATTTTTATTGACTGTTTCCTAGTATGATTGGATTGCTTATTGTACCCTATGACTATCATTAAGTGTTGTACGTTATGATTCTTGACTCTGGACGAATGTCTCTTTTCTTTTATGTACACTGAGAGCATTTGCACCAAGACAAATTCCTTGTGTGTCCAATCACACTTGGCCAATAAAGTATTCTATTCTATTCTTTTTCTTTTTAAATGTAGAATATACTCCGACCCCAAGGCTCATCCCTACAACTCCAAACTTCAATGCGTCCACTGTCTCGCTTACCTTGGCCTTCAACGCCACATGGGGCCAGCCGACGGTACAGACGGCCTTCCCAAGCCCGTCTTCCGAGAACAGCACGTCGACGTTGGCCGACGTCTCCTGGGCCCAGTTCAACATCATCATCCTCACCGTCATCATCATTCTGGTCGTTCTGCTGATGGGCTTTGTGGGAGCCGTCTACACGTACCGCGAGTACCAGAACCGGAAGCTGAATGCTCCTTTCTGGACCATCGAACTGAAGGAGGACAACATCAGCTTCAGCAGCTACCACGACAGCATCCCCAACGCGGACATCTCCGGCTTGTTAGAGGATGACGCCAACGAAGTGGCGCCCAACGGACAGTTGACCCTGGCGACGCCGATGCATAACTACAAAGCATGACGAATCCAGGCAGGGACGGATGGCAAACTCTTTTCTTTTTTCCTTTTTAAAAACTTGGAATGAATCCGTGCCAGGACGCTTTGGATGGTTCCTGTGTTTCAGCCAGAAGGAACTAGCTTTTCTTTTTCCTGGATTGGCCCAAGCTTCAGTTGTCACTTGTCCAAACCAAGACGAGCGCTGGACAATGACCGAGACGAGTCAAATGAAAATTACGGGATTGGATTCAGCTCGGCCTTTCCAATGCCACAAGAGGGTATTTGCCTGTATTTTTTTTAAAGAAGCAGCAGCTTGAATATATATATATATATATTTTTGTATATGGGACCCTGGGAGAAGTCAAGTCAGAAATCATCTCACGGCCAGTCACGGAAAACCCAGGCGGAAAAACGGAGTTTTTCTTAAAAACTGAGTTTTTAAGTGCTTGTTGGAAAAGGAGGACAAGTGGTTTTGGAAAAGAAGAATCCGAAATGTTTCTGGGTCCGAGTTTTGCTATTTAAAAACAAAAACAAACAAAAACGATTGACGGATCCAGACAGAATAACAGTGACCAAAGTTTTGCGGAACTCCTTCGTTCTCCTCTCTTTATTTTTGAGAAAGGGACCTTAGGCGTCCTCTTTCCATCCTTTTGTGAATAGGCGCTCCCAAACTAGTAATGTTATTTAAAAGGTAAATGTGGCCTTTTTGTTTTCCCTACCTTGCTTCGACCAGGATTCCTTTTCCCAGATAGGAAGCATGAAAGTTGAGGTCAAATATTTTATTCCTGAACTATTCGGAGCAGAAACGGTGTGGATAACAGAAGGTGAACAGAGATTTCCTTCGGCTGCGTTTGTAACTATTTGTACAAAAAAAAAAAAGAGACAAAAGATCAGGTGTCGGATTTTAACTGTTTTAAGATTTTTTTTAAAAAAAATCTGTACAGCGGGTTCATGGCCTTGTTTAAAAAAACAACAACAAGGCCAAATGAAACCAGACCTAAGCTAAGATTTGGGGGTGGGAGAAAGTAAGTATTGTATTAAAGTGCTATAAATTTAGAGGGTGAATATCTGGAGCTGGGACTCCAGAAGAAACAGCTTTCTTGCGAATCTCTCCTCTTTGAATAATACAAAGTTGTTTGCATCTTCAAGTTTCAGTTTCCCCTGCTTGTTATTTCAAGGATGTTTAATCTCACAAGACTTTTGTGATTTAGGATAGCGAGGTAGAGTGGAGTAATAGAATTGTTCCCCTGAATGCAAAGTCGGTCTAGGATATGGAAGGAGAATTCAGATTTCTACGGCGCGTATTTCAGAAATCTGGATTGAGTTTGGAACTCCACCCTTTTGCCAGCTCTCTGTCTTATTTGGGAGGAGGGATGTCTTCGTTGCATGAAAACTCACGAATCAAAACAGACATCTTAATGTGGGAATAATACGAATTATTATAAGGGTGAAGTATCTGGCTTTTCCAATTAAGTTCAGAAACTCATACCGAAATTGTTATCGGCTACGTTCTCTCTCTCTCTCTGCCCCCTCTCTCCCTCTAATCTCTCTTTCTCCCTCTCTCTTTCTCTCTCTCTCATCTCTCTCTCTTTTTTTCTGCCTCTCTTTCTCCCTCTTTTTCTCTCTCATCTCTCTTTCTGTCTTTCTCTCTTTTTCTCTCTCATCTCTCTCTCTCTCATCTCTCTCTTTCTCCCTCTCATCTCTCTCTCTCATCTCTCTCTTTTTCTCCCTCTCTCTTTCTCTCTGTCTCATCTCTCTCTCTTTCTCTCTGTCTCTCCCTTTCTCATCTCTTTCTCTGCCTCTATTTCTCTCTCTCTCTCTCTCCCTCCCTCCCTCCCTCCCTCCCTTCAAGAGTTCCTTATTCTGCTACAGGTAGGATTACAATCTGCATTACATTTTCCTGGCCTGAAATTCTAGACCGAGATGTCCTTAGGATTATCAAGAGAACATCTGTAGAACATGATCTAGACGAACGATCTAGGAACAGAGGTTGCCATCAGAATGGGTGTGTGTGTGTTTAGGGCCTTCTTGCTGCACAGTCTTTGTTCGCAAGACTGTGGGTCTGGCCAGATAGGACTGGTTTCTCTCAGTATTTCAATGGGCAACTTCTCTAAGAAGTTGGTTCCTCTCTCTAAATAATTTTCAAATAACATTATCTTCAGCAGCAGTCTGCAAGTCAATGATCTGAAGGGTCCTTGGTGCTCTCTGAGCTTGGTTGTTTTCTTGCAGATGTTTCATGACCCAGTTCAGGAACATCATCAGTGCTAGAAGGGGTGTGGGGAGGAGGAGGAAGAGGAAGAGGAGGAGAAGGAGGACTGTAGGGTCCTTGGTGCTCTCTGAGTTTGGTGGTCTTATTGCAGATGTTTCATGACCCAAAGTAGGTGACATCATCAGTGCTAGAAGAGAGTAGGGTTTGTAGAAAGGAGGAGGAGGAGGAAGAGGAGGAGGAGGAGGAGGACAATGACTGTGGGTGCTCTCTGAGCTTGGTTGTTTTCTTACAGACGTTTTGATATCCAAACTATGTAACATCACAAATGCTAGTGAACAGTCCTGTGTGAATTCACGCATCGGAGTTGGGTAACCCTATTTGCTCCGTGCACACATCTTATTAAACTTAACTGCTAGGCTTCAGGGGGTGCTGGAAATGCAAAACCCACTTTCCTCCAGGGCTTGGAGAAGGAAATTGTGTGAAATTACTCCCAACGCTGTGTCACGCTTATTTGACGAAGGAAAAAGTGACTTTTATCGGGGTTGGCATAGAAGAAACTGCACTGTAGGCTGCCTGAGTGTAATCTGATATTTGGAAAGCGACTATTAGCAGGAAAAATATCCTGGATCAAGAGTTGATTGGATTTCAGTTGACAGAGCAAGAAACGAAACAAAAATAAACTTGGACCAAGATAAAACCAGACTCTGGAGCAGTAATTTCTTTCGTAGTACAGATCCAAGAAATATGTTCTTAGCATTTTGAGGCTCATAAAGTTGCTGAGATAAATTATCTCTGTAAAAGGATGAATGGGATAATTTATATTAAGAAATGTTTTTGTTCTGCAGTTACAGAATCTGCTAATCTGATTCCGGATGCCTTAGAACATTTTCTTGCTTTCAAAGGGGCTGTGATTGGTCAAATGTTGTGTGTGATGCCATAGGTGTAACATCTTTGTGGGGTACTTTCTGAGCTTGGTGGTTTTCTTGCAGATGTTTCATTGTAGGTAATGTCATCAGTGTTAGAAGGGAGTGGATTATATAAACAAAGAGCAAACCCATTTCCTTCTAGCACTGATGATGTTACCTAGTTGGGTAATGAAACGTTACCCTGCAAGAAAACCACCAAGCTCAGAGAGCACCAAGGACCCCACAAATATGGTACGCCTAGAGCATCGCACACAATATTTGACCAATCATAACCTCTCATTTCAAGCCTGAGCTACAAATATCCTTCTTAATTGGAATACCCTGTTTGCTTTCCATTTTTAAACCTGCACTTTTCTTTTTGTCCTGAGTGGCTTTGCTAAGTCACACCTTCTTCTTTTGATCTTCCCAGAATTTTTGAAGACTCTTCCAATTTTGGCTTGTGGGGTTTGGATGATAAACGTTGCATCGGCAATCTTTTACGTTTTGCTAAAACAGGGTGAGAGAGTTTTTTTCCCCCCCCCAGAAAGTGGATGTTGACTGCTGTTATTTAGAAGGATTTTGAAGAAGAGGTCTCCATCGTGTCTTCAAGCCCCCAAACGGTCCTGTTATCAGTTGCAATTGAGACAAGAACGTGTTTGCTGGATACGATGTTTTTATGCAAAACCCTCTGGTGCTCTCTGAGCTTGGTGGTTTTCCTTGCAGACGTTTCATTACCCAACTAGGGAACATCATCAGTGCTGATGTTTTATTTAGCTCCAAGAAAGTCAGTTAAAAACTCTTCAAAACACTTCTTTTATGTGCACCAAGAGCATTTGCACCAAGACAAATTCCTTGTGTGTCCAATAAAGAATTCTATTCTATTCTATTCTATTCTATTCTATTCTGATTTCTATTCTATTCTGATTTCAATTCCATTGCATTCCATATTCTATTCTATTCTGTTCTGTTCTGTTCTAAAAGACTTTTGAAAAACTGACAAGCTTGCATCTTTTTGAAAATACCGTAATGGTGCATCGAGCTTGTAAGTCGAGCATCCCAAGTAATGTTGAATGAGTCTCATGCCAAGAAGTCACAAACACATTTATTCTCATGGGATCAAATGGTCCACAAGCAGGCGATGTTTCCAAAGTGTAAAAAACAGTCACCGATCCTTAAAAAAGCCTGTGAAAAATCAAATCACTTGGATATGCAATGAAGATATGTGCAGAAGGGGGCCACTAGATACATCTTCAAGGAAATGTACACAAAGTAAAAACAGATAGGTGAATTATGATGTAAGCCACATCAGCAAGAACTGTGTGCCACTTCAATCCATGAATTGGTGGGCTTGAACCAAGGTGATGTCCCCACAGTGTTGGTCTTTACACAAAAAAAGTGTTCAATTTTTTTTTTTTTAACAATTCAAGGAAATGGGTGAATTAAAGCGTGAAATACTCCATTCCGTGACCACCTGGGAAAAATTGTGCCCAAACATAAAGAGGCTTTGTGTGTATGTATCTTTTTTTTTCCTTTTTCAAAAAAAATAATCTTAAATTTAATGACCCTACCCCCTAGCTAAAAATAATTGCATGAAGTTTAACTGTAGAGATGGCATGAAACTGTATAATGACATAGGTACCACGATAGACCAGGCCTCCCAAAATAAAATGTTTAAATTTATGAAGTGAGTGTGATCATTTTTAGCATGGTTTGCCCAGCCCGTTTGACACTTAAAGATATGCGAAATAGAATTTACGTCCCACAGACATAATCCCTTTAAAAGAAGCTTGAAATACGCCTCTGTTAATGCAACCCTCTAAACTTCTGATAATTTCCCATCATTTATGCCTCTGATTCTTTGCATTAAGATTTTGACTTGCAGAGCTTGAACGCAAAATCGTATGCGTTTCTAACATGATATGTCAACTATATTTGGGGGAGGTGGCCTTTTTAATCCTAAGCATTTGTTTGGCTTATGAAATGCATCTGAGGAAAAAAAAGAAATGTTTCTCTGTGCGGAAGAGTGTGTACAGTATGTGTGTGAGGGGGTGAGAGTATGATCCAAGTTTACCTGGAATTTATACTGGAAGAATGTTATTTAAACATCAAATAAAATGTAGATAATTTGTATCTAACCCTTTGGGCTGTTTGTAAGTTTATTATTTTTTTTATGGCGTGCCACTTCGTCTTCTGGTCTCATTTCTAGAGGAAGCTGTAAACCACATGGAGAGAAAGAACGTAGGGTTAGTTCCCATCCAAAAAGAGAAGTGCACTCCAAGTCCCATCAGGATAGGCAGCGAAATGGGAGTTGTGTTCCAGCTCTTGCCTCGCAGTCAAGAGGCTTGTGAGTTCGATCCTAGATAGAGGCCAATATTTGGAATAGACTCTCTTGCCTCAAGCAGGGGGTTGGGCTTGATGACCTCCAAGGTCCCTTCCAACTCTTGTTATTCTATGACTCTATACTTGATGGGCTTGGCCTGCCATTCCCTCCAAGTTCTGGAGAGCTGTCCTCATCCAACCTAACTTTAAATTTGCATCTCCATCATCACCAATCCTTTTTTTTTTTTTTTTGGAAAAACGTTTTACAACATACAAAAGAACAAATGAAACCATCGTTCAGTTATACAATGTGTCGGTTTGGTATACCTATCACGTGCACAATATCTATGATCCTTTCCTCTTAACTTTACATTCATATTATATTCTAATCAACATTCCATATCATATTATCTCGTTATTATACTATTATTTAAATTTTAGTTTCATTTCCAGGCTATCTTTAAAAGCAAAACTCAATTCTTACTAAATTATATTCATAGTATAACTTGTTTAAAAATAATCAATTGTAATATACCATTGCTATTACAATATACTTCAATTTCTTACTCTTCTATCTAGCCATTGATAAAATAAACCCCAAATCTTATAATACTCTTTTTCTTCTTGTTCTCTAATTGCTAATGCACATCTACTCATTTCTGCATATTCCATTATTTTCTTAATCACCTCCTCCTCTGTTGGAATGTTGTCGTTTTTCCAATTTTAAGCAAAAAAAAATTCTAGCCGCAGTTAAAACATTAATAATCAAATATATTATTTCTTTCCTTACAACCTTCAGGTAAAATCCCCAATAAAAATATCTCTGGTTTTAAGTCCATGTGTTGTTTTATCATTTCCCCCCCCCAGCCATGTGTCCAGTATCTTTTAGCTTCCGCGCATGTCCACCACATATGGTAATGTGATCCAGGTATCTGATGACATTTCCAACATTTCACTGATTTGTTCTTGAACATCTTTGCTATTCTTGCGGGGTAGATGCCACCTGTAAAACATCTTATCCAAATTCTCTTTATAAGCTGCTGACATTGTTAATTTGTAGTTCCTAGTCCATAATTTCTGCCATTTATCCAAATCTATCCCATACCCAAAATTCTCCCCCGCCCCCATTTCTTTAACTTGTTATCATCACCAATCCTTAAAGCATCTTAATGAGACCATCCTTTTGGTTTTTTTTTGGTCCTCCTCTCCTTCTTCCCCGTTTCTTGGGTACCAAACCCTCCAACAAAAATGGCGGCCGCCTCCCCGCCTTCACTCCCTCTCACCGCGCAGGCGCAGCCGGCCCAGCCCGACCACCACGTCACCAACCGGGCGCCCTCAACCGAGATGGCGCCGGGACGGGCTTCTCGGCGCGTTTCCCGCCCTCAAAATGGCGCCCCCGCGCGCTTTTCCCCCTCGCTTTGCCCTACTCCGGGCGGCGTCGGCGGCTTCGGCAAAGATGGCGGCCGGGGCGGTCCGAGCGCCTGCTGCGGTCGTTTAAAATTCCGAGGCAGCCGCCGCCAAAGTCGGAGACGAAGAAGAGGCGCCGCCGCCGCCTCAGCAGGAGCCGCCGCTGCCGCCGCCGCCCGTCAGCCGCCTCCCGGGGGCCGCGCCATGGACTCCATCCCGGGCGAAGACCCCACTTTGCCGCTGGAGGTCAACAGCGGGTGAGCGCCCGTTAAGGGCCGTTGGCGGGAGGGGAGGGGGGAGGAGGAGGAGGGGGACGGGGGACGGGGAGGAGTTAACCCCTTCCCTGCCGGCGCGCGGCGGACAAAGCGAGTGGGCGGGGCCAACGCGCCCCCTCTGGCTCCCCCTCCCTCCCTCGGTGGAGCCTCCAGCGGCCGGCGCAGTCGATCTGAGTCCGGTTTTTTGGGGGTTTTTTTTTTGGGGGGGGGGGTGTAGGTGGGTGGGAAAAGGAGCCAGGGCTGCTTTGGGCGACCCTGCAGGTGGGGAGGAGGGGAAGGGGGAAAGGTGGGGTAAGGGAGACCCCCTTCCAAGGGTGATCAGGCTTGCGGGGTGGGGTGGGGGGCGTGTTTCCAACTGGACGGGATCGGGGGTGGGTGGGTGAATGGCGGGAGGGGGTGGGGGCTTTAGGTCAGGTTCTTTCCTGATCTTGAGGAGGGGGGGGGTGTAGTACTACAACTCCCATCCTTTGAGGGTGCCTTAGTCTTGGCTGCCTTTGCTGACGGGATGGACGGCCCTGCCAGGAGGGTTGTTTAAGAGGGGTGGGCGGGGGGGGGGGGGGGGGGGGGGTGAAGGAGACTCTTCCAAGGGGGATCAGGATTAGGGTGGGTGAGTGGGCTTTAGACCTGGCTCTTTCCTGATCTTGAGGGAGGATGTACTACAACTCCCATCCTTGGCTACCTTTGCTGATGGGATGGACGACCTTGCAGGAGGGTCGTTTGAAGGGGGGGGGGGAAAGGGGGCAGAGGGGATCCTTTCAAAGGTTGATCAGAATTGGAGGTGGGGGGTTGTTTCCAGCTGGACTGCTCCTGAGTGGGATGTAGTACTACAACTCCCATCCTCTTGGCTTGGCTGCCTTTGCTGATGGGATGGACGGCCCTGCAAGGGGGGCGGGTTGTTAGAGAAGGTGGGTGGGGGAGACACAAGGCTGATTGGATAGGGAGGGGGGCTTAGCAAATTGGGGTGGGGGGGGAGAGAGGAGGCTCTTTCCCGGTGGGGGGATGCACTACAATTCCCATCCCTTTAGCCGTCTTTGCTGATTGGATGGACAACCTTGCAGGGAGCTTAAGGAAAGGACACGGATCGGACTTGGGGTGCATGTTTCCAGTTAGATCGGATGGAGGGGGGCAGCAGCAAACCAATGTTTTCCTCATTCAGATGGGGGACAGACTACAAGCCCCATCCTCCCCATCCTCTCGGCTCTGCCAGCCTGATAGTTGCAGATTCCCCTTTCCTGGCTCTTGCACCCTTCTCCCTTCAACGTGGCATCTTGGACTACAGTTCCCATTGCTCACCTTGAACATACAGGAGGGGAGGGGAGCCAAAGTCGGAAAATTCATTTTTATTTATTTAAATGCACGTACGAAGGAAGATGGAGAAATATTGTGTATTGCCACGGTGCCTCTATCCAGATATTCTTAAACCCACCGCTGATGGGATATGTAGTCCAGGGCTATAAAAGCAGGTGGGTGGGGGGCACATTTTATCTAGCTTGGAGGCCTGCAGGCTCATTTTTTTAAAAAACCAAAACATTCCTTCTTTCCAGCCTCAATTTTTCCCGGCTTCCAGATGTCTCTGGAGATGAGGTTCGCAATCAAGTGGGAGGCGGTGGAGGTAAAAGAAAATCCCCCCCAAAAAAACTCTCTTTAAAAATCCCTCAAATGCAACTTAAATCAAATTTTATAGACTGGCATAAACACATTGTTGCATTTCGAGCTATTTATCTAAGTAAGTAGAACAAAAAAATAAATACTTGGAAGAGAAACAAAAGGGAAGTAATTAAGTCTGCACCGGAAACTTTGTTGCGTTCAAGTTTCTTCTTCTAAGTGATTGTAAAAACCCATCTAGGAGGAGAAAAAATAAACAAATTCTTGGAGAATTACACAATCCCTTCTGCAAAGCAAAGCATAAAGAGTTGTGGTTTAATACCTTTAAATTCGACTTTTCTTTGCCCCAAAATTTATCTCCAACTGCATTTGTTGAAAATGGATGGCAATTTGTGTATCTGTTGTGTTTTCACACTGGAAAAATAAAAATGATAGTATAACTAACGTACTTTAAACCCAAATCTAGCGTTCATGTGCTTTATTAACATTTCCCCCAAACCCAGGAAAAGAAAAACAAGGCTGCCATAGGAGATTTTGGTTCAGCTCCAAGTATTTGTTGCTTTGCCAAATTGCCCCAAAGTTCACTTTCTTTTTGTGTATTTCTGCATGGTGAAGACTATTTGGTGCCTCTGCTCTTAAAAAAAAATGCAGGAAACTATTTAATCCTTCATAAAAAGCAATTATTTTCTAAACTGAAATATGTAATGCACGTAAAAAATTATTTATTTGCGGGTTCTTGGAAAACAAGTGATGAAAAATGATTGAAGAGATCTTTTCTTTTTTTTTTTAAAAAAAAATGCAGGTTTATTTGGCATTTCCGTTTGAGTTCCACTCTTTGCGCTTCACTGTTATAAATTTAAAACTTTTCTAAATTAAAAAAAAAAAAATACTGCTGCTGCTCCTTGGGCCCCTTTGGTGCTTTTTAAGAGTGGGGTGTAAATAGTTTCTCTTCTTTTACTGCATGGCTAGTTTAGCCTGAAGTTTATTCATTTATGAATGAAGGCAAATATAAGTGTTCCAGGATAATGTTGAGAAATTGAATATCTATCTGTCTATCTATCTATCTATCTATCTATCTATCTATCTATACATCTATATCTATCTATCTATCTATCTATCTATCTATCTATCTATCTATCTATCTATCTATCTATCTATCTATCTATCTATCTATCTATCCATATTGTATGTCTATGTGTCTGCAAATATTTGCTCTTTATTTGGATTATTGGCAGTGTTACCTGAGGTGGCCGAAGAGACCGTTTCACCAAGCAGGGCGCGAACCATGAAGGATTTTGAAAATGTAAGTTTGGTGGCTGGGTTTTTTGGCAGTTTTTATTTTTTTTAGATATACTGGTAGTCCTCAACTTACAACAGTTCATTGAGTGACCATTCGAAGTTTGCAACGTCCCTGAGAAAAGTGACTTAGGGCTGATTTTCACACTTCACAACCATTGCAATATCCCCAGGGTCGCGCGATCCAAATTCAAGACGCTTGGCAACTGATTCCCCCAAATGTTGGAAGTGCAATTAAGAAATTGGAACATATTATCACTTATAGTGGAATTGTAAGAAAGCCCAAACATATTGGCCGAAAATTCAGAAATGGATAGAAGAGATGTGTAAAATTAAAAGAGAATTCAGACCTGAAATTTTTCTATTGGGAATTAATGTGGGAAAATTTGATAAAGATGTAATATACTTAATAATCCATATCACCACAGCTGCAAGGTTACCTTATGCCCAAAGATGGAAAGGTAATGAAATGCCAGACGAGATGGAAATAATTAGGAAAAATTGGATGTGCATCGAAATTAACTCAATAATTAAAAAATAAGACCGAATTGGATTATTACTTTAGAGAAGTTTTACCACAGGTTGAAATAAGGAAGGAACAAGAATATTAAAGATGATTAAAGTTTATATATATATGTAAATTTGTATTATTTTCTATATTTGTTACTTAATGATGTAAGACAACCAGGTGTGTCAGTATATATGCACCACATTCATTGTTGTTTTTCAAAAAACAAAAAGAGAAACGCTTGGCAACAGGTTCATATTTATGATTTGTTTCCAATTGCGATTTGGAAACAAGGTGGACAAGGAAAACAACTTGGAAAGTTTTTACCGTTAAGAAGTGTTTACCTGGGGAGAAATGCTGGAGGAATCTTTAGGCTTGCAACTTTTGCTAGGCTAGGCTGCATTGTAAATTGAGTAGTTGTGTGTCTTCCCTTTCATTATAGAAAGGTGCAAGCATCAATATTTTATTAGCAACATATGAGATTTCTCCAGGGAGTAGTGCGGTGGCCTAGAGGTGGAGATCTCGCTTCACAGTCAGGACGCTGTGAGTTCGATTCTAGGTAGAGGCAGACATTTCTCTCTCTGGGCACAATGAGAATATATCCGCTGAACAAAACTCCTCACTGGTGACAGGAAGGGCATTCTGATTCTAAAAAGTCACACACAGACCGGCACTTTACAAAGATCTGTTTGCACGTATACATTGATGAAGCAGGCAGCCATTTTGGGGCTGAGGTAAATTAGAAGGGGGGACGTGCTAGCACAGACAGAATGTCGCCACAAGGGAAGGGAATTTTAGCTCTTTCCCTGGGGAAGCAATTCGTTTGCGGGGCTCTATCTGGAGAAGCAGGAATTGGCGGTGGCGCCGGTTTCCCAGCTTTTGGAGGGCGAAATTTGGTGATCCGAGCCAAGTTGAATGAAATGAAAAAAGGGGATCATCATCCTTTGGGCATCGAGCATTTAGAGAAGAGAAAATCCAGATTATTTTTTTTTCCACCCCGGCCTCTTTGCAGGAGAATGGGCTATGTGCCTCCCCCAGTCAGCAAGGTAGTTCCTAATTAAGAAAGCTCCTTTCAAGAGCAGAAATAAAACTTAGCTGGCCACAAGGCTCTCGTATTTCCTGTCAAAGAGTTGTGGGAGGCCCAGCAAAAAAAAAAAAAAAAACTATTCAAAAACAGCAGAAAGTTTTGCAGGAAGTGGGAAATCTCTTTTCTGACCCCCCCCCCCAAAAAAGAAACCGTTGGAAGGCAAAAGGCCCAGCCAAGCGCTCCTAGGAGAATAAATTTATAAATCAATAAAAGTTGATCAACTTTCCTGCATCGAATCCAATTTTAACCTGGAACACCACCAAATCAGGTTGTCCGCGATCTATGACCACAATGCTGTTGTTAAGTGAGATGTTGGTTAAGTCAATTCTGTCCCATTTTAATGGCCTTTCTTGCCTCAGTCAGTCTTAGAATAACTTTATTGTCACCTTGGGACATTGTGACCGTCATAAATATGAACCTGTTGCCCAATCATCTTGAGTTTTGATCACGTGACCATGGCGTTATTGGAACGGTTGTAACTGTGAAAAACAGTCCTTTTTCCAGGGCCTTTGTGACTTCGGTCACTAAACAAACTGTCATAAGTCGAGGGCTAGCTGTAACTGCGGCCTACGGAAGTTCGATTTGGGGAAACTGATGGTTGTGGTGTGGACTTTGGTCATTTGGAAAACTGTTTGAGTCAACATCTCTTCTTTTCGCCAGCAAATCACGGAGCTGCGGAAAGAGAATTTCAACTTGAAACTTCGCATCTATTTCCTGGAGGACCGGATTCAGCAGAAGTTTGATGGTCCCCATGATGATGTATACCGGATCGTAAGTGTTGCGTGGTGTTTTTGTGTGTGTGTGTGTGTGTGGTTCCTGGTTTCTGTTTGGGCACCGGCGCATATTAGGACATTACCGGCATGTAAGGACATCCCTATTTGGTTTGGTGGCAGCGCTGCCTCAGATAGAAAAACCCTACGGAGAGTGGCGAGGACAGCAGAGATTATAGGAAGCTCGCTTCCCCTTATTCAGGATGCTGCTTATAAGTGCTTAGAGCTCAAAGCATTGTGAGAGACCCCACACACCCACTCCATGGTCTGTTTCTGTTGCTCCCCTCTGGGAGAACGCTTTGAAATATTTCTACCAGATTCTGGGACAGCTTTGTTCCTTGTGCCATCCGTCTGGTAAACTTGCAAGATTCATTTTCCCCGATGTGTACATGTATACATCTGAACTAGACTGTATTGTTTCTCTGTGTCATATAATATGTGTGGGTATATACATAATTTTATATTTACCGTGTTACGTTCATGTAGTGTATACTGGAGGTGGTGGCCCTTTGAGAGCAAGGAGATTTCATTTTAATATGTGGTGATTCGTGTATGGAGAATAGGATAGGATAGGATAGGGAAAGAATAGAATAGAATAGAACAGAATAAGGAAAGAATAGAATAGAACAGAATAGAATAGAATAAGGAAAGAATGGAACGGAATGGAATGGAATGGAATAGAATAGAATAGAATAGAATAGAATAGAATAGAATAGAATAGAATAGAATAGAATAGAATAGAAT